GCATACCGCCACCTACTGTACAGACTGTGTACCTGCATGTGTTCCACCTTCTATATCTACTTTTTATTTAGCATAATATTCACATTAAAACAGTGTTTTATTTAAAAAAACCCTGATTTTCTTCCAATCACAATCTGTTGCTAATATTCCATTTAAACTCTATTTTCTACCTGTTTTCCTAATTACTTTTCTCATCCTCTCTTTCAGCTGCAGTCAATAAAAAATGATCCACATTTTCTTTTTCTCCAAGCCTCCTGTTCCTCATTACTCCTTTTCTCTAGTATATATAAAAACTTATTCTATATTTTTCTTCTTTTCTAACCTTCATCTCATCCTTAAATTTGTGTTTCTTCCCTTTAATTGTTGATTTAGCTTATCTCCTTCCCCAAAGCCCTTTCAGCAGGTTTTCTGCTTGTTTCCCCTTTCATATACAGCAACAATCTAACAGTGTATGCCCAGCTTTACCTTGTAGGAAAAAAAACAAAATGGCCAAAGGAAAATGTTCCGCTCTGGTTAAATTATGAAAGAAATGGAGTGTCCTGCTTTCAAAGATCTTAACACAGAAACATCAAGCTATGGTAATTACATTAATGAAAAGCAAACATCAGAAATGCAACAAGCAATTGAGAGAAACCTTCTGGAACAGGGCTGTGCAAAGACTTCCTGTGCTTTTTTTAAATAATACTAGATGAGTCCGCTGATATTGCAACACCAAGCAACCAGTTGTGTATGTCAGGTAAATAGATGACAACAAGACTGTAACAAAAATGTTCAGGAAGTGTGATGATGGAAGAAAAGATACTATTGCTGATGATGAAACTTGCAGCTGTTTATACAGATGGAGCTGCGGTCATGACTCAGAACAGATGGGTGTGCACTGTGCAGCTAATCGTATTGCACTTGCACTAGTGATGCAGCCAAATCTGTGCCACAGGTGAACAGGTTTCGGCAGGATTTGAGATCTTTTTTTGTTTTTGTTTTTTCAGTAACTGCTAGCAGAAGCAACAAGCTGCATGAACTGCAGAAAGAGCTGGATGAACCCCAACTGAATTTCACCCTGCCACAGGGAAATGGCTCTCAGTTCATAATGCTGTTTCAGTAGTGTGAAGGTCACTGAAATCCCGGAGATGTCCTGGAGCTCATGGCTTTCTCTGATGGTCAATATTCTGACAAAGCCAAAGGTCTGCTAATGGCTCTCAGACAGTTTAACAGTTTGAAAATAACAGCCTTACTAATGCTGTTACCTTTTTTTTGTAACGAGTAATCTAACTAATTACTTTGACTGTAACCATAACGCAGTTGCCATTGCCGACACCCAGTTACTGCGCGTTACTCAGGTCGCACAATTAACCTTTTTACTCGTGCGCGCCTTGTCATGAGAGAGGGGAGGATGAGAATGGCTGATGTATAGTGAGATTCCGTCTGTCAGTTGGGTAGGTGGGTGTTTCCGCTGGTGGGTGTTAACGTACAGCACACACAGAGAGATGGAGAGTGAGGAGGACTCCAGCAGCAGATGGAAATAACGGTGTTACGTCGAGCTGCGTTTCCCCATCAGATACGGTTTCCCCTGCATCTCCACACAGCGCAGGCGACAAGATTCACCGCGCAAGCGACAGGAAACGCGCATGCTCGCTAAAGGCGCGCAACAGCCGGCCTGTGCTCGCGCCACAGGAGAACTACGGAGAGCGAGAACGATCAAATGTTAGCCTATATGGAGAAAGGGAGAAACATGGATGGATGGATGGATGGATGGATGGATGGATGGATGGATGGATGGATGGAGTATCTAAAACAACCCAAACACACAGGATTGCAGAATTCAGAAATACCGAATTATTAATTTCATTCACTCACCAGATCTGAACGCCCCGTTAAAAAACTTCACACCCATGAGTAGAGGTAATGCAGCCTGATGATATTTACACCGCATCAGATAGCGTTCCCCCCATGTTAAGATGAGGGGAACGCTATCTGATGGGGTTGAGAGGCCCATCCGATACCGTTCCCCCCATGTTAGGCAGGGGGAACGCTATCTGACGGGGTTTATAGACCCATCAGATAGCGTTCCTCCTGATGTAATTTACGCTGAGTTGCAATAAATGCTAAACTCTCTGCAGGTTCTTGTCTTTGTCGTCCGCTCTATTCAGCTGGCTTTGGAAACACACAGTGAGAAGGTGGGGGCCGGGTGGTGAGGGTTACGGTGGCGAGAAACGCAAAAGTAAAGCAATAGGTACTTTTACTAGTAACTAGTTACTTTTATTGTTGAGTAAGTCAGTTAGTAACTCAGTTACTTTTTGGAAGAAGTAACTAGTAACTATAATTATTTTTTTTAAGTAACGGTTCTTTCTCAAACACATCTCCAAATGGACGATCTGGACTTCTCCACAGTGCAGCCAATGGTTGAAAGAGGCCCTGAGAGAAATAAGTAGTGTATAGGATTTCCTGAAAGCGCGTTCACGACGCTACGGAAACCGCGGCAGACCAAACCAGATGAAAGTGCGCATTCAGCTCAGCAAAGAACTCATGCTCTTCCTCAACACTGAAGTCCTCAGACATTTTTCTTTCGTTGTTTCTTTCTTTGCACAGGTAAACAGCACATTTCTTCTTCTACGCTTGCATTATTGGCAGAGCAGACGCTGAATGCGCACTTTCATCTGGTTTGGTCTGCCAGCTTCCGTAGCGTCGGGAACGCGCAGGTGCGCGCTTTCAGGAAATCCTATACACTACTGTTTATGCTCTAAAAACATTCTAAATGACTTCGTTTCGAGTAAATTCTGGATGCTACCCACTCAGGACACTTGGAATACATTGGACGAGCAGTATGGAGGAATATTGACACGTTTTTTGTGGACTTTTATGGACCTTTCTGTCTATGGACCTCCATTATTTGAATGTCAGCAGATAGCAAGAAGCCTCCCAGATCTCCAGATGCATTTGAGATATCAAAAAAGTACTCCAGGGTGTTGTTCAGCATGGGGGTGAGTAGAAAACGAAGGCTAATCATGTTTTGGGTGTACTATTCCTTTAAGGAGGCTGTTGCCAGTCTTTTATTCCCATGCAGTAAACCTTAAGCCCGTGTTCTCTTCTCGCCTGCTCTTTCTAAGAAGAAACTACACGTCCAATCTTCAACCAGCATAGAACACAATTATGATGTTGAAAACTGAGAACTCCTTACTGCCAGGTTAGCCCTAGAATGGAGTGGAGGTGCTGGTTGGAAGGGGCCAAAGAAGCATTCATTATTTGGGGTGGATCACAAGAATCTGGAATACAACCAAGATATTCAATCCCAGAGAGGCACTATAAGGATAGTATTTTGGTCAGTTGACTTTTTGTTTGTAATACACCAAAAACACAAAACCTGAACCCCTTACCAAAAAAATTCTTATCCTCCCATTAATGAGACTAGTCGTGCAAAAGAGTTCATCCTTCGTGACACTGTCCAGCACTATGATGGGTATGAGAGGCAGATGAGGGATGCCACCAGGAATCTCTCTACCCCTGAATCCTGTCCTGAGAACTGTTTCTTTGTACCGAATCATCTGGTGAGGAAAGTACTCATGTTCTGTCATCGTATTATGTCATCCTGGAATCTATAAAGCTATAAAGATCATACAAGCTCAGTTTTGGTGGTCCTCCGTGATTGAGAACACTAAGGAGTTTAAAATGGCATGTCAGCTGTGAATTCAGTCCAAGCCTTCTTGCTGACCACCTCTCCCGGTTCCATTACCATCCTTGGTCCCACAAGGCATGGACTTCATCACAGGTTTGCCCTCCTCAGTTTTCCTCACCATTGTGGACCTATTCTCAAAGATGATTCATCTAACACCCCTTAGGAAGCTCCCATCCGCCAAAGGGATTAATGAGATTTTGGCCTATGAGGTGTTCAGGCTACATGAAATAGCTATAGATCTAGTCTCTGACAGGTGTCTGCATTCACATTCTGGAGTTTTAATCTCTGCATGGTGTTTTGGTCGGTTTGTCTTCTGGTTTTACTCAGGGATTGGTAAACAGAGAGAACTAACCAAGTTACACTGTCTATGTGAGTCGTATCCTACCAAGCAGTGGTACAACCTGCCAAGGGTTGAACACACCATAAACTTTTGTCCAAGCTCATGTTAAAACACTTCCCACTGATTACACCACAGTTTTAACCCTAACTCTCATTTGAGTGTATGCAAGATAGAATTATTAATGTTGAATGCAACCAGAACCTAATCAGTATTATGTTCACTCTACGAGGGCGTCTTATTCCCCATTTTGGGTTAGTTTTATTTATATATTGATATGTGAAAAGAATAAAACAAGCAGCTAATTGACCAAAAGCTGATGAAGAAAACAGGTTTATTGAATGCTAATACACATGAATTGGAACTGGAGCAGATAAACAAATGGAAGGTTCAGCAGTTTAATATAAAAAAAAATTTACAAAATAGGAGCAGACAAAAGTGGAACATGTCTATATTGAGAAAAAAATCACCAACATTTCAATGAAATCTGTCTCATGAATGAAAGGATAATACCAAAAGAGAAACACAACATTCTGATATACAGTGTGAAGGTCTGACTGGAAAGAGCAAGAAAAACAACCTGCGAATCCGAGGACAATTTCAACTTCCATCTTTAAAGGACTTCATATCAACATTGAGCAGAAATGAACATGCTCACATCACCGCTCACTGATCTGAGAGCAGTTTTTGTTCACTGGGAAATCAAGGTAGGTGCTTCCTGGAGGGGGATGTTAACCCTTTTTTATATCCAGGATAGTGAGGGGCTACTTAACAGGAAGCAGAATTCACGAGGATTACAAAGACATGCAGAAATTAAGCAAAATGTCAATTTGGGTCTGATTTTGAATGATACTATAAAATAAAAGAGATCAAAAAAATTATTTTGCATAGCCTAGACCATTAAATATCAAATAAAAAAAGAATGGGTTAGGGTAAGAATGAACTGTCTGTTCAACAGTGAGAGGGTTTCTTTGACGGGAGACTACAATCAACTTAGCACAAAAAAACTGAGGAACCAAAACTAAATCCCCAAAACCCAAACCCAGGATACAGCGGTTCAGTAAATGTGGTGTTAAAGGTGTGGAGGTGAATCAGTGAGTCAGAGGAGATTCTGTAGAAGGACACTATGCCAGCAAGACAGTCGACATAGACTGCTACTCTGTTACAGTCTGAGGAGGAGGATATATGCGTTTCTTGGTTTTTGTGATAGACAGAGAAACCATGAACATCGGAGCATCTGAGACTCCAGGACCAATTATTCCCCCCAAACCAACAGTCTTCACTGTCCTCTGTCCTTCTAATTCTCCTGTAGCTCACTGATATATAAACCCCTTTTGTCCACTGGACCTCCCAGTAACAGCGACCAGTCAGACAAGGTTCACACAGCACCTGACGAACATCATATCTTTCTGGATGATCACAATATGATTGAAGCTCCTCCACACGTGTCATTTTCTTGTTGTTTTCAGACAGCTTGATGTTCCTGCTCACTGTGTTTGTGTCAATTGTTAGGTGACAGGAATCTGATAAAGAGAACAAACAGTCTTTGCTCAGTTACTTATTATGTATTGACACTATGATGAAGACTTCAGGATGAGCGGTCAACAGTTTGAAGATGGTTGGATGTTTATTCTGCTTTGTTTTCATGAATCTAATGAAAAACAAACTTACACTTCCTGAGACCTGGTTCCAACCATTGGACTCCAATAGGCTCTACCCTGAAAGGAGGAGACAGCCAGACTGTCAGCCTATCTTAGCATGCAGACATAGATGTTACATGTAGATTTACACAAGTCAGTCAGCAGTGCTCGGAAATAAGTTGATCTTAACATGAGGATAAATAATCCTGAACGGCAACAGGCTGGTCATTATAAGACCAGGTCATTATAAGACCACCAGGTTTCCTGCAGCAGCCGTTGTATGTTTAATGAGCTTTTCTGTAAGCATAAACACATCAGTCTCCTTTGATTGGTCCATTTTTGTTAGGGTTAGAAACAGTGGGAAAAATCACTCAGACAACAGTGGTAGGGTGAGGGCATTCTGGAGCTTAGATGAGAGCAGCGGGAAATCAGTGTGGAGCAGCAGCAGACAGGAGACCATAACCAGGAAGAGGCGGCCAGCCCTGTCCCCCGCTGTGGCTAAGGCACATCACAAAGATTGGCATGTGGTATGATCAAAAGATCCAAAGCCTAAATATAGCCCTCTAAACCTCTGGAGCTTTTATCTGAGAAGAAATCCTTATTTCTTTTAAACCCTTCCCATAGATGAGATGTTTACTTCTCCACTAGAAAAAAAACAAGTATCAAATGTATTAAATATACACATTATGTACTATTTTTAATTAGGATAACTTTTTTTTTTAAAGAATGAAATAAAGTTTTGGATCTCTGCACCAACTTCATCCATACCTCAGAATTTGCAGTCTCCAACAAGGATCCCTGACTCCAGCCAACAGTTGTTTCACTCCCAAGTCTCCTAGATGATTGTAGCTCAGATCCAATTCTTTCAAATGAGAGGTGTTGGAGCTTAGAGCTGAGGCCAGAGAAACACAGCCTTCCTCTGAGATCAGACAGCCTGACAAGCTACAAACAAAATTCAATGCAAATTATGTGAAAATCAGAAAGTTGAAGTGTAATCCAAGGTCTGATTTTACATTTGCAGTAGGGAAAATTATAATAAAATAGTTGCTTATCTAGTCAAGAAAATAAATAAAACAGTATTTTGTTTTGTGAGCAATAAAAATGGACATTTAGGAAGATTCATCTGACTAGAGCTCCACTGTGATGAAAACTTTAAAGACCACCAGGGACTTTGCAGATGGTGATAGCTTTAAGCTTTCTTTCAACTAAAATAAAGAAACTGGTTTCCCCAGTAGAACAATTGTCTTGGGCCATTATTTACAAAGACTTCTAATGCTACGTTCAGAGGCACACGATAGAAGCAGCAAAATCAAAGCATTCTTAATGCTTGCACACATTAAGGGCTGAGTAGTTTTACATTTAATCAGAGTAAAGCATCTGCTCCTTTGTGCAAGGAGGAGCAGGAGGAGCACTGCCAGAGCCCTACAAAATGTCTCTGACCAAACAATCAGAAACAGATTTCAGGAGGATGGCCTGAGGGCCCCACGTCCTGTAGTGGGCCCTGTGCTCACTGCCCGGCACCGTGGAGCTCGATCGACATTTGCCACAGAACACTGGAATTGGCCAGTCAGCCACTGGCGCCCTGTGCTTTTCACAGATGAGAGCAGGTTCACCCTGAGCACATGTGACAGACGTGAAAGGGTCTGTAGAAGCCGTGGAGAACATTATGCTGCCTGTAACATCGTTCAGCATGACTGGTTTGCTGGAGGGTCAGTGATGGTCTGGGGAGGCATATCCATGGAGGGACGCACAGACCTATACAGGCTAGACAACACCACCCTGACTGCCGTTAGGTATCGGGATGAAATCCTTGCACCCATTGCCAGACCCTATGCTGGTGCAGTGGGTCCTGGGTTCCTCCTGGTGCACGACAATGCCCGGCCTCATGTGGCGAAAATATGCAGCCAGTTCCTGGAAGATGAAGGAATTGATACCATTGATTGGCCCCCACGCTCACCTGACCTAAATCCAATAGAACACCTCTGGGACATTATGTCTCCATCCATCTGACGCCGGCAGGTTGCACCTCAGACTGTCCAGGAGCTCAGTGATGCCCTGGTCCAGATCTGGGAGGAGATACCTGAGGACGCTATCATTCGTCTCATTAGGCGTGTGCCCCAACGTTGTCAGGCAGGCATACACGCATGTGGGGGTCATACAAATGACTGAATACAATTTTGAGTTGCTGCAATAAAATTTCAGCAAAATGGACGAGCCTGCCGCATCATTTTTTCACTGTAAGTTTTGGGTGTCTGTGAATTCAGCCCTCTGTAGGTTGATCATTTTCATTTCCATCAAATAATGTGGCATCGTTTTGTTCCTAACATGTCACCCAGTCCAAATCAGTATGAATAAAAAGCATGATTTTTTCCCCTATTGAGATCTGATGTGTTCCTTTTGTTTTTTTCTTTAGCAGTGTATAGTTTTAAGTGAGAAAGTCCATCTGAAAACATTGTTTGTGCAGACCCGCCCTCTCCGCTTTATAAATGCACATGGACAGCGCTGTACAGGCTCCAAAGAGGGAACACCTACTTAAAATGTATGTGTGCACAAACCCATTTCTCCTCATGCACACTTTTTTAAAAACCTGCTGTTTGCATTGCTTCTCCAAGCTTAATTTCCAAAAGAATATTTGTAATTTTTCCATTATGTCAGCCTCACCACTGATAAGTGAAAATGGGGACAAGCACTTTAGGACAGGCTTACGTAAACATATCACCATAATGATTGACAATTAGGAGGGCCACATATTTTGATGATCCAACCGGAAATATCCTCAACTATATCTATAAATGACATCCTAGAATTTCTTGCATTCTTAGATTTATCTTTGAATTTTGCCTCATTGATATAGAAATTAATCAGTTAGATCCGAAAAGTAATCATAGATTATGTGAATTATGATTTTTTATCAGGACCTGTAATTTAAATCCCAGATCAAAGAGGTTTCTAGAATTTCCTTCTTTCATCTGAGGAATATTGCAAAAATGAGAAATCTCCTGTCCAGGGGTGATGCTGAGAAACTAGTCCATGCATTTGTTACTTCAAGGGTTAGGGTTAGGTTAAAAGGGAGTTTTTCCTTTCCACTGTCGCTACAAGCATGCTTAGTGTGAGGGATTGTATTTGAGTCAATGAGTCAATGCAATACACTGGTTTTCCTTAGATAGAAAACTTTAAATCAATTTGACTGGATGATCTGGTGAACTGGAAAGTGTCTTGAGATGACATGTGTTGTAAATTTGGCGCTATATAAATAAACTGAATTGAACTGAAACTCCCCTGATCTTAATCCCATTGAAAACTTGTGGTCAATCATCAAGAGACGGGTGGACAAACGAAAACCTAGGATTTCTGACAAAATGCAAGCATTGATTGTGCAAGAATGGACGCTATCAGTCAGTATTTGGTCCAGAAGTTAATTGAGAGCAGCCAGGGAGAATTGCAGAGGTCCTGAAGAAGAGGGGTCAACACCGCAAATATTGACTTACTGCATCAACTCATTCTAACTGTCATTAAAAGCGTTTGTTACTCAGAATATGGTTGCAATTGTATTTCTGTATGTGATGATATCTGACATATACACATGAAAACCAGAGGGCAGCAGATCATGTGGAAATATATTTGTGTCATTCTCAATACTTTTGGCCATGACTGTACAATATGAATATAGATAAACAGAACCAAATACAAATGAATATAACATTTTACATAAACTCTTTTTGGAGGTAATGCACTAAAATCTGGTTTCATCAGGGATGAGAACATTTACCTGAGAATTTCTAGTTTGCAGTTTGGACTCTCCAGTCCAGCAGATAGAAGCTTGACCCCTAAATTCTGAAGGTCGTTGTTACTCAGGTCCAGTTTTAAGAGACTAGAGGATTGAGAGCTTAAAACTGAGGACAGATCTTCACAGCTTCTCTCAGAGAGGCTACAGACACTCAGTCTGAGGAGAAAGGCACAAAAACCTTTGATTATACAATTAAAAATCCATCCGTCCAGGTTATTTTGCAGTTTGTTTTTATAGGGAATACGTAAGACGTGACAAGTTGAAAACTCTATATTATAATGTACATGATCTTTGACCGTAGCTAATGGAAAAAAAAATCATTGTTTTAATAAGATCAAAAGTTTTTACTTGAGAATTTCTAGTTTGCAGTTCAAACTCTCCAGGCCATCACGTAGAAGCTTGACTCCTGAATCTTGCAGTTTGTTGTTACTTAGATCCAGTTCTCTGAGACTGGATGACTGATTGCTGAGAACTAAGGAGAGTGCTTTATAGCTTCTCTTCGAGAGGTTACAGCCACTCAGTCTGACGAAAGAGAGGAAAATATGTTATTAAACAATTACTAGATATTGGTTCCTGATTATTTGTAGTAACCAATATTTAACCTGAAATGATTGATGGAACTGTCTATGTTTCATTATTACCATGTCATTATCTTTGGTGAACTGGTTTAGAACATGAAAATTTGAAAAAAAAAAAAACTGAATGACTATTCACCCTCTCTAGCAGATTTCTTTTCACAATCAACAACCATGCAGTCAAAATCTGTGTCCTTACAGAGCTCTGTTGGAGGCTTTCACCACTGGAAGCAGCCTCAGAAGAACCCCCTCTGAAGCTGAGTACTTCTTCAGGTCAAACACATTCAAAGTATCTCCAGATGACACCAAGATGAAACCCAGAGCTGACCACTGAGCAGGAGACAATTTATCTATCGATATATTTCCTGAACTCAGAGACTGTTGGATCTCCTCCACTAGAGAATGATCATTCAGTTCATTTAGACAGTGGAACAGATTAATGTTTCTCTCTGCAGACACATTTCCACTTATCTTCTCCTTTATGTACTGAACTGTTTCCTGATTCGTCTGGGAGTGACTTCCTGTATGTGTAAGCAGACCTTGTAGCAGTCTCTGATTATTGTGTAGGGAAAGTCCCAAGAGAAAGCGGAGAAACAAGTCCAGGTGTCCATTTGGACTCTGTAAGGCCTGGTCTACAGCTTTCTGATGAAGAAGCTTTAAGTTAGGTTTCTTAGATAATAAATATTTCTTAGATGACTTTGTGTCTTCCATCAGACTGACACCAGAGTTGATGAATGCCCTATGAACATGAAGAGCGGCCAGAAACTCCTGAACACTCAGATGGACGAAGCAGAACACCTTCTCCTGGTACAGCCCTCTCTCCTCTCTAAAGATCTGTGTGAACAATCCTGAGTAAACTGAGGCTGCTGTGATATCGATGCCACACTCTGTCAGATCTGATTCATAGAAGATTAGGTTTCCTTTCTGCAGCTGATTAAAAGCCAGTTTTCCCAGAGACTCAATCATCTTCCTGCTCTCTGGACTCCAGTGTTGATCTGTTTCAGCTCCTCCATCATACTTGACCCTCTTCACTTTGGTCTGAACCACCAGGAAATGGATGTACATCTCAGTCAGGGTGTTGGGCAGCTCTCCTCCCTCTTTGGTCTTCAACACATCACCCAGAACTGTAGCAGTGATCCAGCAGAACACTGGGATGTGGCACATGATGTGAATGCTTTTGGATTTCTTCATATGCGCGATTATCCTGCTGGCCTGTTCCTCATCTCTGAATCTTTTCTTGAAGTACTCATCTTTCTGTGGGCCACTGAACCCTCTGACCTCTGTTACCATGCCAACACACTCAGGAGGGATCTGATTGGCTGCTGCAGGTCGTGTGGTTATCCAGAGGAGAGCAGAGGGAAGCAGTTTCCCCCTGATAAGGTTTATCAGCAGAGCATCCATTGAGGTGGACTCTGTACAATCAGTCAGGATCTTTTTTTTGGTGAAGTCCAGAGGAAGTCGACTCTCATCTAGACCATCTAAGATGATCAGAACCCGGAAGTCTTCAAAGCTGCTGATTTCTTTGGTTTCAGTGAAGAAGTGATGAACAAGTTCCACCAAGCTGAACTTTTTCTCTTTCAGCACATTCAGCTCTCTGAAGGTGAATGGAAATATGAACTGGATGTTCTGGCGGGTATTGCCTTGAGCCCAGTCCAGAGTGAACTTCCGTGTTAAGACTGTTTTACCAGTGCCAGCCACTCCCTGTGTCAGTATTGTTCTAATCGGTTGATCTCTTCCAGGTGGGACTTTAAAGATATCTTCTTGTCTGATTGTTGTTTCTGGTTTGTATGTTTTCCTGGATACTGTTTCTATCTGACTGACTTCATGTTCATCATTGACCTCTCCAGTCCCTCCCTCTGTGATGTACAGTTCTGTATAGAGGTGGTTCAGAAGAGTTTGACTTCCAGTTTTAGTGATCCCCTCAAACACACACTGAAACCTCTTTTTCAAACCAGATTTAAGTTTCTTTTGAGAAACTGCAGCAAGGTGTTCTAAATAAGGAAAAAAGTGAAATTAGGAGGGCAAGAAAAGTATCATGTTATTAAAGTATAAATGTGATTCTACATCTTCAGACAGATATATGTGTGATTTATCTATTAATTAAAGTATATTAATCTTCTTACTGCCTTGCAGACGGTCAGCCAGCTCGTCCTGCTTTATCATCCTCAGGAAATTCACTGTGATCTTGATAATTGCCTCTCTGTTGCTCGTCCTTTGCTCGTCATCATCCCCATCTAACACATCCTTGTGACCTTTTTTACCCTCTGAGTCATATTGACTAAGAATACTCTGCATTTTCTTCAGCTCGTTCTTCACAAAAGTGACAATATTGTCCTCCAACAGCTGAAACAGAATAATACACGAATGACTGTACTCATACTGATGTATTCTGCTTATCTGGGACCTGGTTGTGGGAGCAGCAGTCTCAGCAGAAAATCCCAGATTCCACAGCTTGTTTCATCTACTACAAAAAGTAGAGATACCTTTTTTTTTATCTCTGCTTCTTTTTCTATGTCTGCTTCTGTCTCCTTGAACACCAGTCGGCCTCAGCAGATGGCCTCTCACACTGAGCCTGGTTATGGTTCTCCTGGACATTTCTGTCAATTGCCGCTCTGGAAATAAACTGAACTGAATTTATAGAGGCAGCTATCTTTGGACAATGCCAGTTCAGAGCAGAGAAACTATTGAGTGTATAGATTGCCATTATGACATGATTGCGGCAAGCTACATAACCAGGAAGAGGTGCCCAGCTGCTGCTAGCTTGGGAAGAGAGCTGAGGAGCACAGTGGGAGATTGAAGAAGCCTGCTGGAAAACAGCGCTCCAGGCCTGGGAGAGGCTACAGCTGACTTTGGCTAGCTATTGAGGCAAATTGCTGAGGATCAAATCAGAATGGCAAATGACCGAATAACTCAGCCAGGCAAACGGAGTGCTGGAGGTCGGGAAGAGTGGCTGCAATTTATCATGAGGTGGACAGCATTACATCAGAGAAGCCCACCAAGGTGAGAGAGTAGGAAGAGTCTGGCCTCTAACCCCAAAATGCCACATCCCCTGTCTCCTCTCTGCCCTGCTGCACTCCAGGCTTTCTGTGCAAAGCAAACCAACATCCTCTGCTGTTCCTCCCGTCTGGCTCCGCTCCGACTTCCTCTGAGTTTGAAGAGAGCATTCGCTATATTATTAAATTCAAAGCAGCAAAACATGCGGAAATGAACCAGGGTTTTCGCGGATCATTACAAATCTTTAAAAGCCATTAATTATTATTTTTTTTAATTAAGGCCTTAATTGGCACTAATTAAATGTGATTGTCATGGCATTGAAATAGTTAGACCATGTATTGACACGTATTGATTGATTGTATATATAATCTACATTGTAATGAAGGATGACCTCCTATCTCTGAATACCTCTTTCCTGTCGGCTCAAGTCAACATGATAAACCTCAATTTTGGCAAGGATGCCACTGTGATGTGACCTCGCCTGCAAGCTGAGGTCTTCCGGTATTTGTGTGTTCAGAAAAACACGAGAATATATCTTCTATCACTTACACTTTAACCGTTCAACTCTAACCCAAAATTGGTTGGTCAATGCAATTATGGATGACAATAGCATCAGCAGAAGAAGTTTGCCCTGCAACTAAAGGAGTTTTGGTTTAAGCCCCAGCTCCAACTTTCGGTGTTGTTGTGGCCTTGAGAAAGCACTTAACCCACTTTGCCTACTGATAATAGTAGTAATTTAGAGGTACAAACCATAAATATGGAGTCCAGCTGTGTTTGATGCAGCTGGGCAGTTGGACTGCTGGTAACCTCTGATTTCTTTTGGCCCAGTCTGTGGAGAAACAACAAATAATTAGCTCATGTTCTCTCCACAGAGAGATGAAGGAAAGATAAAACTTAGGTAACTGCGAATAAATAGATATGTTTTTCAGTGATGATTGGAAAATCATTCACATTTTTACTGAATTGTACTGCAAACAAATACCAACCGTAATTGATGTTTTTTAATGGCCCAATAAAACCTTGTAAAAAACAAAGTACCAGCTGAATTATTTTACTATAGTAAAATTTGAAAAATCTGGCATTGTGTAGGTTTACGGGAAGAATAAAGGTTTATGAAAGACAACGCTTGATACTTTCCTCGGGTCAAGGAAGATGGTGGCGTTAGCATATTCCATGAAATAACATACAAAAAGTATTACATTGGAAAGTGTCCAAAAACTGTCCCAGCTTAAAAAATCTATATATATTTTAATGACTGATCGGATCTATCATGAAATTCTGTAACAAAGAGGATTTACAAGAGAAACTCTAAAAGTAATGGTAATCAGCAAAGAAAAATCTAATTTACCATGAAGGTGGAGTGCACAGGTAGCCTGGGTGCCATTCCGAACTTAGTCCCACCCACAAAGTTTGAGGTCGGGAAGTTCGGTCTGGCTCTGCTCCATAGTAGCGCGAGTATTATCGCCCACTGTCAGACGATCCAATCAAATTGTCAGGGCGGGCTTTATACGATGATGGACAGATGACCAACAGTAACGTAATCAACCACGTGACCAATGCGCGCTTGGGTGACAACAATAATGGCTGCCGCTGGAGAGTTTGGGTGAGCAGATTCTGCTATTAGGTCTGTTCTAGAAGATATCGACAGCAAATTAATTTTAAAAGAGGAACAGAGAAACGCGATCAAGTCTCATCTTCTTATTATAGGTGTGCAACTGCACGCTTTGATTTTTGTGGACAACAACTATGCCTCACTTAACATACGTCACGCACTCCGTTGCTCTTATTGGTTGTAGGTCTATCCAATTGAGTGCAGAGGCATTTTTTTTCCTGGTTCGTTCGAAACACGCCCCATAATCACAGCTCTATGGAGCAGTATCAGACTCATATTCTGACTAGAATTGAGTCGGACTACGTCAGGCTAGTGCAAAGGAGCATCTGAGGCAAAAATATTGGACTAAAAGTTTAATGCCTTAAATTGAAAAAAAGCTTACATTCAGAACATTGGTTTAATAGTTTGCGTGAAATGGCTAGGCAGAACATTGATTATAAAATTGTGGTACTTGTGAAGGGTAGAAGCCAACTGGAAAGTATATATGCTATAGTAAATAAAGGCTGGTGAACTGAATTGCAAGTAGCTGAAAACTTAGGAATGATAAGTTGCCATTATCTGACTAACTAGTTTGGAAGAAAATAAAACAAAAAAAATCATGATATTGTAGAATTAAATGAAAATAATGTGGGAGGAAAAATAAAAAAAAATAAAGTATGGTTACACACCAAACAACAGAGGCACAGAAAAAATTAGCCTATATAACAAAAGCAATTTAGTAAGACAAAGAACAGAATAAGGAAGTTCTTTGCACCAAGTTGCTATAGAAAGAAACACTGACTTTTTATCAATGACAAAGGCAGTAAATGAAAGGTAACATAACAACAACAGAACATTATACATCTACTGCAAGAATTTCTCAAATTGAATGATATGGAGGTAAGTGACAAGAACGTCTAGATGGCAGAAACCATCATAGAGTTAAAAAGATAGAGGAGAAGATTCAGGATATTGTTAACAATAAACATGATGCAACATAAAACAAAGGTTAAATCTGCACCAGCCCAGGTTAGATGAAGTAAAGGCAAGGCTTTTTAACCACAAGATCGTTAGGGTTTAACATCACTGTAGACAGCTTTTCAGATACAAGAATTAATCCAACATGATTCAGGGTTTAAGAAATAATTGTAAAAGAAAGTCTTTCTTTTTCTTAAACCCTTTGTTTTGTTCAAGAACAAACATTTTGTAAAAACCAATTGGGAAAAAACATCTGATTTGAGCATGGTTCTTTGCAATAAGGTCAAGTTTTAATTTACCATAACCAGTTTTGTTTTCGTCACTGATGACTATGATGAAATTATTTGGTTGATGCTCCTTTTCTTCATGATGATAAAAAAACTGAGAAGCTTTACATGGATCTTTGATGACTAAAACATGACGCTTCTGAAAACTCCTGACACGCTTCATATTTAAAATATTGCCGCACAGCTGTTGTTTATGAATGATGCAGGGGAAGCTCCAAAAATCTGGGAAAGTTTCAGACAGCTTGAACACAGCAACGAATCCAACAGTGCGCCCAACCATAGATGGAGCCCCATTAGTTGTGATAGATGTCATTATCTCATTATGTCTTCAGATTTCTCTTCGCGCTTTAGAGTCCCGGGTTACAACCTAGCAACCGTGGCAAACCATGCCCAGCAATCAGCATACATAAAAAAGGTTTCCTGCATACTTTTTATTTTTCATTTTATTATTATGAAAATACACATTGGCCTCTCGTCATCAATGATTTGATTTATGTTTTTTAAAACTTTTTTTTGGTCATAGCCATAAATAGGTCTACACTGTAAAACTTCTCGTGATCAAAACTCCGCCCACGATCGACTGGTACACCCCGATCGACTGGTTGGGCACCCCTGATTTAGAAAGTCAGCTTCAGCTACACCAACCGGGGAGAGGGTGTGTTGTAGTCTGTAATATGCCTTGCCACATGCTCCATCAGGCGCTTGAGGGTTCGTGGGAATTTGCCCAACCTGTCCACATGTGTTTAGTGGATCTGAAAAAAGGCATTCGACCTTGTCCCTCGTAGTTCCCTATGAGGGGTGCTCTGGGAGTATGTTGTCTGGGGCCCTCTGTTAAGGGCTGTCTGCTCTCTTTATGACCACAGCAGGAGCTTGGTTTGCATTGCCGGCAGTAAGTCAGACCTGTTCGAGGTGTGTGTTGTTCTCTGCCAGGGCTGCCCCTTTTCACTGGTTGTTCATTACACTTATGGAAAGAATTTCTAGGCGCAGCAAGAGACTGAAGAGTTGTCTCCCTTTTTTTTCTTTGGATGGAGAGGATTTTGGAGGGGTGTCGGCCCTGTGGCCGGCTGGCGTGTGGCCCCTGCCACCGGTCCCTGGCCCCCTGGCTATGGTGTAGCGACTGGTGGGGCCCCCCTCTCCAGTGGGGCTCTTGAGGATCGGGGGTGCCTATTGGAGTCAGTGAGGGACCTCCCCATCCCCATAATCCTCCCTCTGCCTGCTCCATCACACTGCCACACATGTAGGTTTTTGGGGAGGGGGTCGTTACCGGAGGGCCCCACCTTCTGATGACGTCCCCCACCCCAAGTTTATTTCGCATCTTAGACACTTCCAACTACAAATTTTACTACACACATCTATGTAGGGGATTTTCTGGGGTGGTGGGG